ATTCTCTGGTTCAGGGAGGTATCCGTAATCTATGTCATCCAACCACTTCTAAGTCAGATTACGTAGGTACCCCTTTGAGGTGTATAGAGGACCAAGGTCTTTCTTGTAAAACCACATCGAGCCATAACAGCCTTCTGCCAGCGCACACGCTCCTTAGATAGACAATCTTCTTATCAGCTTCAAGTCTTCACATAAGCTTCTGATGTATTCCCTGATCAATCAGGTCTTCATCTTCTAAACTTCGGACAGACTCTGACTTGGCCTAACTACTTTGCCATAATAATAAAGTCAATTACAAAGTTGGGGTTTATCTATCTAACCAAAACACTAATACTTGCTATGATAATTTCTTAACATTCTTGATGCTATTGAGTGATTTTGAGCATATTCTTGCGTTTATGCCAAGTTAGAGCGTTTATGTAGGATCTTTTGATGCTATTCTTTGAGCTATTCTATGTGTTCAAGTTCCTTTGTTGATGGGTATGAGTTTTGAGGTGTTTTGGACCTAAACTTGCATTTTGACAATTTTCCCGAAGTGTTTTTCTCCCCCAGGAATCGGTACCCGCGGGTAGACCGGCGGGCAGTGTGCCACCCGCCATTCCACCCGTTGGGTACAAGGTGGTGTTGGTGGCGGGGGGTCCACAGGTGGTTGACCACCCGTGGTACAGTGGCGGGTAGTTTTCCTCCCACTGTACCGCCCACTGGTACGTTGTATTTTGGCCTTCGTTTTGTTAATCCGTTGTGCACTTGTGTGTCTCGATTGATGTTTCGTAAATCAAGAACGATGTCTTAAGTACCATAATAGGACTTGTGCGTCTTGAATAGTGTTTATGATCCAATCTTGTGATTCGTTGGATTGAAATGAAGTATATGTTATTCATATGAGCCTTGTTAATTATCTTGATTGAATTGCATGCTAGATACGTTGTTCATTAGTACTAGTACGTGTTTACCTCGTATTGATCTTGCCTATTCTTGATGAGGATTGGTGACTTGTGTTACCAATCGTTGTAATCCTTTGATATGGAAGCCTTTCGTTATTGTGGTATTACCTTGGAATGTCTCCTTCATATTCTTTCTTGAGTTCTTCGATTGAATCTATCCTTGTGAGCTCGTACAAATGTTGTACCTTATCATGATTGTTCTTTGATTGGGCTGTGAATGAGCCTTGATTATCTATGTCAATGATTATGTGACTATGTGATATGATTGTTATGAGATTGGCGGTAATGAGCTTTGCTCAAAATGATTGGCGGTAAACTATCACGTGATATGTTATATGATTATACTTATGAGATCGGCGGCAAGCTGGCGATAAAGCAGGCGGGGAGCATAGTCTCCGGAGGGATAAGGTTGGACTGGTTGTATAGGGTGGCCTGAAGGTACAGGTTGAAACTGAAATAAGGATGGAGCGGTGTAAAGGTTGGAACGTGAAGCTTGATCATTGATAATGTTTCTTGAAGCTCGTTGCTTATGAGCATCTCTTTATATGTGACCTTGATGATTATTTATTGAATACCTTATCGTTGATTATCGTTAAATCTGTATCATTGTCTTCTTGTATTGATTCCATTGTTTAACCGTTGTTGGTCAGTATGATTGAGTGAATCTCTTGATGGGTCAAATGATGTGTCTATCTCTCGTTTTTAAAGCTAGTGTTGCTAAGACTATATGTACGAATTCCTAAGTCTCAAAGGTGATTTTCTTATAAACTATATTATATGGTACTTAACGCGTTGGAGTGTGTTACTTAGCATTTTCGCTAACGGTTGCTACACCTTAATGTTTTTTAGGTACAAAGTAGTTTGACTCCGAGCGCGCTAGTTGAAGCCTTCGTTAGACTAGCTTTACTTCCTTCTCTTAGTGTAGTTGGTTTGGCCTGTGAGCCGTGACTGTTTAGACTTTGAGTACTCGTACTATTTGAGTTGGATAGATGTTTTGGCCTGTGCATCTAAGTATGTAGCTTAGATGTGGCATAGCACCCCTGTTACTGTTTACTCAGCTTCCACGTTTCTATAATCTTTATGGTTAGATTGCCTTATTTCTTAAGTTTGAATTGCTTTAAAATAACCTTAAAATCGGGGGTGTTACAATAGGTATGCAAATATATTATGTATATACAGTGCTTGAAAACATATTTTCAAATGAAACTATAATTGTATTAAAATGAAGTTGTAATGTTTAAGAAATGAAACTATAGTATATATAAAAAGAAACTGACTAGCATGTCTCACATAATTGTTGTGTATTGTCAAATAAAGGGAGTTGCATTAAAATGAAACTGTAATGTTTAATAAATGAAACTATAGTGTATATAAAAAGAAACTGACTAGCATGTCTCACATAATTGTTGTATATTGTCAAACGAAATTGTATTTATATTAAAATAATATTGTAGTGTTTATAAAGTGAAACTATAGTGATTGTAAAATAAAATTGACTAGCATGTCTCACATAATTGTTGTATATTGACAAATGAAACTGTATTTATATTAGAATGACACTGTAGTGTTTATGAAATGATATTATTGTTTGTGTAAAATGAAACTGTATATACTCATAATGTAATGCTCCTGCAGATTGATTGTTGAATCTGATGATGATGATGATCATGTAGAAGTGATGGCAGATAAAACAAGGAAGTTCAAAAACCTGCCCCTGCACTTAAGATTCCCATATTAGACAAAAAATGATGAGGAGCGGAAGAATGTAGGTCCTAAGGACAAATTGATTTCAGAATTTGCTTTCATTGAACTAATAGAAGAATATCCTCTAAGGTATGATAAGACACTTAACTCATACTCTATTATATCCATTTGTGTACTAACTATTTTATTTATTTATATTTATATTTCTGGCAGTGAACAATTATTTTGCTGGGATACTATATCAACATGGAGCAATTTCAAACTTTGAGAAATTGTGGGCTTAAAAGTGTATTTCTAGACATTTGGTGTCAAAAATGAATCTGTTAGATCCCAACCGTGTACTAGATAAACCCAAGAAGATATTCTTCTCATCACAAGCTTTTGTAAGCAATCCCCATCAGTAATTACTCTTTTTACATTTTTGTATGTTTTTTATGAATAACATCCTTTAATATAAAATGATTTTTCAACAGCTCCAACTAGACAGTCCATTAAATTGGGCTAAGCATGATGAAGCACAAAAACATTTGGACTTTGAGCATTGTTTAGACACTGAGATAAAAAATCTGTCAAATTTGGATATTAGCGATGCACAATTGGTAATCATTTCTTATGCAAATATTGTCTTTAAAGTTAAACAAAATACTAATCTTTTATTATTTGTTTTTTTTAAAAAAATTAAAATAGGTGCTCTTTACCATTTACCGGCATAATCACTTCTTTATGATGTGTTTCAACTTCAAGACATCACTGATTGAAATTATTGACAACAGACCACTTGGCAAAGGCCTAAAAGTTCAACAAAAGTATGAGAACAACCCACAAGTGCTTGTAAGTTCTATAATTAATTACTTCATTTTAAAAACACAAACTTATGGTGCATATCTAATTAGTTCTGAATTGCAGCAAAATGCATTTGCATTATATTTGCAAGAAAAAAAAAAGGACTGGAAAATTTGGAGGAAAAAGTGAAATAGCAGCCTATTGAACTGGTAAAGATGCAATGGAGATCATGAGACAATACAACAGATTGTGGTCTGTACTGCATGAGGCATATGGAAACCTCCATGGTGAATTCACAGAAATACTTTAGTTTCATTTGAATTACACCTCAGTTTCATTAGATTTTAAAATGACTTTTAAGAACAATTTCATTTTAAATACATTATAGTTTCATTTAATCCAAAATACAAAATCATTCCCATACGCATAAAAATGGTTAGACATGGCAATAAAAATCCAATACAACTGTATTTAAATTCACACAACGTAACTATTAGCATTCTCCTTTCAATTAGATCTAAAATGAACCAACTTTGAACTACTACTACTAGAGGGATGAACAAAATAACCACTGCCCACCATATTAGAAATTGATTCCTGAACAGAGGACTGAACTGCTCCCTTTGTGTTCAATTCAACAAACTTGGCATAACTCTTCGACCTCTAGCATGGTTATACTTCTTTTGCATTGTGCTAATCAACCTTCTATTGCGATCACATTTTGCCCTACTGCGTGATGGATTTTGTATTACACCACATTTGGGCACTACTAGAATGTTAACATTAAGCGATATTTTTAAAATGTCACAAAAAAAAAAAAAAAAACGTCACCAATGTATTTACCGACGAAATAAAAATATCACCAGACCATCGGGTTAGTGGCCTATAGAAAGGTATTACTGACGCAATTATGTTTTCATCACTAAATATTATTATTACCAACCTTTTTGCATGGTCTTGATAATGTCATGGAATACATACATTTTGAAATGAAAGATTAACAAAAACGCCAGTAATAGTTTGTGACGAAATAAATTATTTCGTCAGAAAATATGACTTTACTGACGTTTTCCATAAAATTATGTTTGTCATGAATAAATTTAATTGACAACGAAAATTGAAATGCGTCAAGAAAATAAAAATTTATTGACAATTGTGTATATTATTATGCTTGTCATAAAAAACTAATTGCTGATGAAATATCAATTTGTCAATAAAAATACATTTACTGACGTTTTTCCGTATTCGTAGTCATTACTAAATTTTATAATTTTTTTAATAATTGATGATAATTTACACATAGATGTATCTAAAGAGGTTTACACAACAATTTCATGAAATTGAAATAAAATATATTAGCATCAATTAAAATTTCAAAATAGTGCAATATTTTCATAGTAGAATATTGAATTACAAGGATGTAATGTGATATAAATGGTTCTTAAATTAGTTGGCCAAACTGGACATGAGAATATATGCTATTCTATGCACATAAAGAACGATAATGATTCTCATGTTTATCAAAATTATTGAGGTCGGCACTTTGGAAGTCCTTTGTCTTGGGGAAAAGGCCCGATTTGATGTCTAAATATGCAATAATTCCCTGCCATTAAAAAACACAAATATTTTTCAAGCATGAATAATAAATTATTCAAAACTATATATTCAACTCAATCAGATAGTTGATTTGAATCACTTTTATACTTTTTTGTGCTTATATTTAATTCCTAACATAACTTTCCTTTACTGTCAAGCACCTTGTGCTCAGATGGCACCTCTGTGGCTCCCCTTGAGGGAAGGTCACATGATCGAACCCCGGTGGTGGGGTATTGACTCTTTGGACTGCATTAGTTAGAGAAAGTATAGAATAGATACTACCGAGCTTGTAATAGAGATAATAGTATTAAAAAAAAAATTTAGTTGTTTAGTTGCTTATAGCATGTAATCATATTTCATTCCACGAGTTTACTACCCAAATCAAACCTGCTGCAACAGATATCCTCCTATAAGACAATAACTGAATTACCAGAAAACCTTCAAAATCACCACCGGAAAGCCGGAGTCAACCCAGAAACTAGGAAATAACATAAAACAAATGTAAGGAAAAAAGAACTCAAGTGGTGGGCATTCTAGAGAAAAGTTAGAGTTTTTCTAGATAGAGAAACCACACTAGCAAAATATCGAAAGAGAATCCAAAGCTAGTATGTTAAACTCAAAAACTGAAGTTTTATAAAGACAAATAATTAAAACTTTCTAAATCTGTGAAAAATTTCAGGAGAAAATCACTATAAATGTTTAGATATCAAGTATTCCATCTATAGCAATATGTACCTTGTTATATATATATATATATATATATATATATATATATATATATATATATATATATATTTAGGATCATATGAGATCACCTATTTAAGTGAGATTGTGAGATCAAATCTTGTGTATCAATCTAATTAATTTTAATGGTCTAGATTAAGTGTGTGCGAACGCAATTAAATGTGTGCAAATGTGATTGATCTAGATTGGTCTAAGTGACATTGTGAGATCAAATCTTGTGCATCAATCTAATAACTTTAATGGTCTAGATTGATCTAGACCATAAAAATTTATTAGATTGATGCACAAGATTTGATCTCACAATCTCACCTAAATAGATGTTATAATAGTAACCCTCCTCTATATATAAGTATATAACTAGTCAATGGTTGCACCTATATAAGGGCACCTAGCCCTTTGGTAAGGGGAGTTTTCGGTCCTTGCCCTCTCTTCCACTCTCTCTCTCTCTCTCTCTCTAGAATCTAGGGGTTGTTTACCAAAATGGAAAAATGGAAGATTTTCCAAAAAAAATTGAGAATTGAAGAAGTGGGGGAATGAAAAATGGAAAACTTGTTTATTAAATTTATTTCTCCAATTGCCTAACTGTTCTCCATTCTCCAACATTATGTACAATTTTGGAGAGAAGATATTTGAACTTCTCCAAATGGAGAGATCGTGAAAGACACGGGTGAACAGTCTTCCTTTTAAGAGGTCAGTCAGTTGATTCCCACTGCATGGATCATATCTTTTTTTTTTTTATGCTTTGGTCGTTTCCCACTTTCGCCTGTGCGTGCCCCTTTTTCTTTTTCTCCCACTGCATAGAACATAGCTTTTTTTTCTCTCCTTTGGTCGTTTCCCAGTTTCTCCTGTGCGTGCCCCTTTTTCTTTTTCTCCTTTTGTTGTTTCCCCTGTGCATGCCACTTTTTTTTTTCCTTTTGTTGTTTCCCTATGCATGCCACTTTTCCCTTCTTATATTATTATTATTATTATTATTATTATTATTATTATTATTATTATTATTATTATTATTACTATTATTATTATTATTATTATTGTTGTTGTTGTTGTTGTTGTTGTGATTATTATTATCTTTGTTGTAGAAATGTACAAATGTTATATAGGATGATTGTGTTTACAAAATAGAAAATTAGAGAAATGAAAAATTGGAGGAATGGAGAAATGGAAAACTTGAGAAATGGATAAGGAAAATTGGAGAAATGAAAAAATGGAAAACTGGAAATGGAAAAACAGAGAAATGAAGTAAACGACCCCTAGAATTCTCCCTACTCTCTCTAGCATTCAAGAACAACATTGAATAAAAGAGTCCTTTGAGCTAATATTCTTCATACAATATACACTGCTATACGGGTCAATACCCCGGATCAAATGGCGTTGTTTGTGGGGATCGAACCCACGACCACGTGGTCCGGTTAGGTCGGCATCACCACCGCCGTCACTCTAAATCCAGTTAGGTCAACATTGCCATCGCCAGCCCGGTTAGCCCGAGACCGCATCTCGACATAAAATCTACGAGGTAGGCAGTTAAGTCCGGTTAGGTCGGCATTGCCCCACCAGCCCTATAAGCCCGATTAGGTCGGTACTCCCACAATCGGCGCGATGAGCCCGGGACCTTATCTCGGCTTTAAGCCCTACAAGGTAGACCATTTGAAACCGTGAGGTCGGACTTCCCACCCCGGGTTGATCCAATCTCTTTGGTAAAGATTGATCACCTGATCACGTTAAAAATCTGATCGCTTGATCAATAGCATGCAACTCCTCTATCAAATTAGAGGTCCGATCTCTTGATCGGTAAGTTTAGACATCATACATTCCCAAAGTCCTACAAGTCAGGCAAATCGACCATCGACGCTATAAGTATGGTCCAGTGCATCAACATCATGAGTTCGATCTGGTCATTTCCCAATCACAATCAAAGTTAAAAAGCAAGCTCGGGAAGCTATCTATCTACTCCCTTATGCTGACGATTCTCACAACTAAGGGAGTGGGGGGCTACTGATAGGGTTGTAGAGCATACTCCCTCGGCCTACGAAGCTCGATCAATAAAGTGCTTCCCGAGTAAAGCGACCTTCCTGGTCTCATTACCGTTAGACCTTCGGGTCTCCTAGCACCCCTTCCGCTCGGGGGCTCTCGATTCGTAAAACCGAGTAGAAAATGGGATAACTCCCCATTCAGCTTATTGTTGTTTTCTAAATCGCATTTCGCTATCGTTAGACCATCGAGTCTCCTAGTGTCCCTCCGCCTAGGACTCTCGGTTCATAAACCGAGCATAGAAGGGGAAGCTCCTCATTCAAGTGAGTTTGGTTTCCAAAACCCATCATAAGTAATTAATATGGTAATCAACGCCAGCCTAGTGCGATTGGCTAAGAACGATCTTTTAACCAAGTAATCTAGGTCGAGGTTTGACCAACCTCAAACCAGCCGTGACCAGTTAGCCCAGGTGAAGTGCATTAAGAATAACGTTCCCGCTTGTGATCCATATGATCAGTAAAGATACTTAGATCGTGAATAGATCCAACTCCTGATTGGTGTAGCCCGATCCCTAGATCGGTATAGTTTGACCTCGTAAACCATGCTAGAATTTGATCATTAGATCGTAAGCAAATCCAATCTCCAGTTGGTGTAACCCGATCCCTAGTTCGGTGCAACTTGATTTCCTTATCATGCTAAAGTTCAATCCTTAGATTGTGAGCAAACCCAATCCTTTGATTGGTAAAAGTGAATCTCTATATCGCGGTTAGCACGATCTCCCGATCATAGCTAGCATCCCTATCGCTAGGTCGGTAGAATTCGATCTCTCAAATCGTGTTGCAAATCCGACCCCTAGGTCAGTAAATCTAGAACTCTTGGGTCCTTTCCCTCTCCTCCACACACTCTTGGGTCCTTTCCCTCTCCTCCACACACTCTCTCTAGAATCTAGAACTCTCCATACTCTCTCTAACATTCAAGAACAACATTGAATAAAAGAGTCATTTGAGCTAATATTCTTCATACAATATACACTGCTATACGGGTCAATACCCCGTATCAGTTTTAAAATTACTACTTACTTGATGGGGGATTCTTGTTGGAATACTATAGTAGAGCTAAAAAGTGTTGCATAATCTAAAAAATTAAGATTAGCCAATAATGGATTAAATATTGTTTATATTGTAAGAATATTTTTGGAGATTTTTATGCAATTGGCCACAAAAATAATTACCCTAAAATTAAATATGAAAAATAGAAAAGATATGCACGATCTATAAACTTAACTATAACCTCAACATCCATCACAGTTATTTCCTAGAGCAAAAAAAAAGAAGAAGATATTTCACAGTTATTAAACCTCTAAAAAGCAATATGAAATCAATGCTATGAGTTTGTTTCTCACCCTAAGCAATGATCCATCACAACAAGCAACTAAAATCAATTGATATATTGTCATATTGTATGTTCGGGAACCATGAAACACACATTGTATAAGAAAAATAATTTAGACTTAGCCTAGAAGCATACCACATAAATCATTAATCTTTTAGCCATTTCCTTGATTTCCTTTTGATAAGTGCATTTTTGTCTATATTTTTAACCCTTCTTGAACCCAATTTATTTGTGAATTGCCTAAAAACTTGTTTGAATTGTGACTAAGTTATGTTGGTTTTATTTCAAGGTGCAATCATTCACAACAAGTGAGGAATTCAATGATGTGTGCGAAGATACGGGCAATTTTTGGACCAAGAGATCAATCAAAGAGTTTGGAATGCACTTAGGAATTTCCAGGAGCCTCGTAATACCTCGTGTACGCCCATCCACCTGACCATCCATAAGCAGTTTGTAGCTGAGAGTACGTACTACCTCACGTACGCCCGTACGCATGCCAATACGCTAATTCCAGTGTTCACTGGAACATTGCGACTGCCTCAGGGATGGTCGTCCCTGAGGCAGTACCTCTGTGTTCTGTTCACTATATAGGCATGGTTCTTCTCATTTCTACACAGTTTTGGACCTTATTCCAACCCTAGACATTTCCTTTCACTTCCTTTCATATTTTAGTGTTATATTAGGCTTAGATTTAGGTTCCACAACATATTTCAAGCTTGTAATCAAGGATTCAACACTTGGATTCCAAGATTTACCATCCATTTCATTATAGAAGTTTATCTCTTTCTTTTGCAAGATTAATGTTTATTACTTGTGCTTTTGTGTTCCTTATGCTATTGAATCATGACTCTTGAGTAGTTAGTTTTTGGACTTGAGTTAGGGTTGTATTATCAATCTTGATGCTTGATTTGTGATTATTGCAAAAAATGGGAAGAACTCTAACCTAGGGTTTTTGAGTTTATATGAAGGATTTGTGTTTGTATGTTGTTAATGTTTGATGTACACATTCATTGGCATGTATTTGGAGAATTCTTGGCTACAATGAGAATTGGGTCAATGATTTTAGCCACACCTTGCATAAACTCGATTTGTTCATATGAAAATAGAAGAAATTGGGGGCTTTAGATTCTTTGTGTGCTTGATGGACTAGGAATTGATACGTCACGAGAGTGGGGCAATTCCTTATTCTAATCCTTGTTTATTAATCACGAGAGTGGTTCGTGGACTAGGATACCTACGTGTATTCCCACTTGATTCCTTGGTTCTTTGTTCTCCATAATCCCATAGGTTGTTGAAGTATCTAGATGATAATGCTCCCTAGCTTGAGTCTTATTTCTTTGTTTCGTGTTTATATCTTGTTAATATGTATTTGTATTACTTTGTTTAGTTACCATAGTCTCAACCTTGTTATGGTTTGCTTAGCTTCTTGTTGATTGTTTAATGCTAGTGCCTAGTTGCTTGTGATTGCATATTACGTGCCATAACCCCCAATCCCCTGAGAACGACATTTCACACCCGTACACTCACCATCATTCATTTTTGCTACAACCACATTTTCAGCTTTTTTTATGCTTGTTAAATAAGGTCTCAAGCCCTGCAGAAATCATTTTAATATCAAAGTTAGTTACTAAGTTACAAAAGCAATTTAATGAAACACAAGGATATTAACACAACTTTACTGAGGGAAAATACTTTTATAGTATACCAAATCCAGAAATCCAACAATTTGATAGAGTGTGAGATTCCCAATGAAATATTTTAAATATTGATTAATCGTTGATAAAAATCTCTATGATATTGAATTATCGAAGCAACACCTCAAGTAAATTGCTTATATAGTATCTAAATAATAAATATTGGACTAAATGACTACACGAATGGGTTCAACAGGATGAGTTCTACATTTAGATGTCATTTTGTTAAAAGTATCAATCTGTAGTAGACCACTTGAATACTGAAGCCAAGAGAAATGCATCAATACCCTAGATTAACATGTTTATTTCGAGAAAGCTAACTTAAGCTCTAATTTCCCTTTATTCCACGCCTATAATCATAATCAGGATGAAAGTCATTATGAATCTAACTAAGAATCCTTGATACAATTTTATTGTGATCCCACAATACTCATCATAATGAGAAAAGAAACTAAAATGAAAATTCCTCTGTTTAAATGCAATCCTGTAAGGCGGTAATGGTGTAATGGTAACCCTCATATAAGGAGAAGATCAATCAATCACTGGACATAATTCAATAGAATATAGAAAAGTTAATTCATAAGAAATTTAAATTAAACAAAAATTGGTTAGGTCACAATCTCAGTAATTGTTCTGATCTATTCAATGACAAAGCTTATTAATAAATATGTGTTGTAATTGCAAGTTGGGATCATCCTTTGGTTAATCCTGTGTACGTACTAAGGTCAGCAAAATTATATGATGCAAGTCATTATGCATCTAGCTAATAATCCTTGATACATTTTTACTGTGAGCCCCTCAGATTTTGCATATGAGACACCGAGAAAAGGGAATTCTTAAATTTCTAAACCCCTCACCTACGTATGAATAATTCATAATAAATTTAAATATATAATAAAAACAAATCACAACAAAGTTTAAAAAAAAACTACAGGGGAAACTATATATCCTATTCTAACTAATAATGAGAGCAAAAAAATCACCCAAATGATGCCAAAAATAGAGTTTATACATAGATGCTTGGGTGGAGATTAGTTGATTAGGGTTTGTATTTGCCTGGACATGAATCTTCTCTTGTAAGCTTGGGTCATTTCGAAGACTTCCACTAGGGTTTTGGAGAGATGAAGGCAGAGAAAATAGTGATGAGATGAGGGGAAAATAGTGAAATTAGAAGTAGAGAAAATTTTATTACACACTGTGGTGTAGTGAGATCAGGAGAAAACCAGAGACGCAAGTTCTTAGGCCTCTTAAGTCTATGAGAACAGCAAAATACACATGAAATTATCAAAGTTAAAATGATCTAATCCATTCTAAATAACTAACCTGCTGGTGGAAAGAAATTAGTGAACCATTGCTTAGAGGTCAGTGGAAATGGCGATGGTCCATTCTAATGGATCTGTAGTGTCACCTCTCTTCCTTCTATAGTGCGATGCCGCTACAGAAACAAAGTACTCTTTCGCAGTGGAAATGGCGAATGTGTCTCGGAGCAGTGCTGATGAAGATTGTATTGTCGTACTGCTGCTATGGTAGTGTAGAGAGGTGAAGTTGAGATTGTACTGATTGAAGATTTTTAGACAAATTTTTTTTTAAAATTTCTGAAGAGATTGTTTCTTAATGGCGCCAAATGATAAAAAGCTCTCCCGCAAAAAAAATATTTTCACTTTCCCTTACATTTTATGCTAAAATTGATTTTTAAAATAAAACATTTAGGAACGTTTATTATAAAACGTCATTGCATCTATATCTTTATTGACAAAAAAATTATATTTCGTCAGCAAATATTACAAAAAAATTTATTGTCTCTACCAAAATATATAGTGACGTTATTTAATATGGCGTCACAAATTGTTATATTTAACAACCTTTTCTAGAGCGTTGTTAAAATTTTCATCGGGAAATAAAAGATTTCTAGTAGTAGGTTCACCCTCTTCAAATAAAATAGAACCAATTTCACCTTCAATCTTTCTTTTGGCATCCTCAAAATGCATCTTCGCATACTTCCCGAGCTTTACAATTGTTTTGACTGGATAAAACCAACTACTGAAACTTCCTACCCATTTGTATAACCCAAACTGACGAAGCAACACTAAAAATATTTGAGGAAGATGCAGTATCCATAATTCTATCTTCAAGAACTTTTTTTGGTCCATCTTTTAAGAATGTGCTTACCAGGGATTGCTGCAACACAATGAATATTTAAAATGCATAAAGAATGAGAGCATAAAATACCTATATCTGAAAACAACTTGCATCTACAGCATATATCCAAGTCCTTAACTCTGAAACAAACCTTATCACGAATAAAATCAATATCAAGACGCCAAACATGATATTTAATTTCATCACCACTGCCCCCCCCCCCCCCCCCCCCCCCCCCCCCCAGCTTCTTGATGGCATGAAGAACCTTTCCAGAACTGTTCCTCAAATATATAATATATTTCAATGTTGTAAACATCTCTAGCATGTGAAAAGCCATGGAAGGCACACCTTGGGAACAACACACATCTTCACCATTCTCCTTACTTCTCCACTCAGAAATCACATTAACAAATGAATTATAAAAATCACACAATCAAGTTGTTTTTGATAATCTTCTAGAAATTGAATGATTTGTAGACTCACTCCTTCGGGAAGATAAAATACCACTAGAGAACTAATCTTTACTAGACGTAGGACACCATTTTTTCATAATATCGTAGAGTTTATCTAACCAAACATTTTTATGACACTTATATTCTGTCATCATCCTGAAAAGTATAACATAAAACATGAAGTGTAACAAAAATGAAACTACACTATGTATGGAATGAAACAGAAAAAAATTTATGAAAGTTCAGACATACTACTAAGTTGAAGATAATATTTCTAAGTAGAGGGGGTATGGGGTATGCTGAATAAATTCAGCTGAGCTCTACAAACAAATAATATCTTCAACTAATCCACAATCACACTGAAAAAACTATAAAATAAACACAGACATAGTATCATTTTCTCAAACCAGTAGTATCATTTAATGAAAACTGCAAAATCATTTAATGAATGTTGCAAAACATATCTGGTCCAGTAAAATTCAAATTCAGCTTCTGTATAAGTATACTTTAACAGAAAATTGAATAACTCTAAGATACCCTTTTGAATCCTCAATCCTTTAATATGTTTCTTTGAATTCTCCCCTATATGTCATATACAAATTCTATGATTTGAATGCAGAAAGACTAGCGTGATTGCAACAGCCATGGCAGATAAGTGCCAAAATGTGCTACTTTTGTGGGTTACTTGTAGGGGTGACCACGGTTCAGTTCGAACCGAACCTTGCAATGTTGAACCGGAACCAATATGGTTCCGGTTACGATTTGAGATGAAAAGGAACCAGAACCGCCGGTTCCGGTTCCAAACCGAAAAAATTCGAATATTATAGTGTTTTTTTTTTGTTTTTTTTTTTTAAATAATTCCGGTTCCGGTTTCACCATCCACGGAACCAGAACCGAACCGAAACCGTGGTCACCCCTAGGTACTTGGGAGACATATTGTGCTATAATTGGAGTCCTTTGAGCCTATTACATACTTAGAATAGCTTATTTTGATTAAAGATATGAGTAAGGACTAATTGTGGTTACATTTGTGAAAAATAGCAAAACATTGTCATTTTTAGGGCATTTCAGCGACAATTCGTTAATTTGAGCATATCTGGAGCTATGGGGTGTCCAAATGAGGTGATTCAAGCGGCATTGGAACGAAACCTCAAAGGACTACAATTTTCATGAAGACCGCAAAGGCTGATTCAAACGTCTCTAGGCCAAGATGCAACCACGCTCATGACAGTAGAGTGGTAAAACATCTGAGAGCTGTCACAAAAATTGTCACGCACGTGACAGTAGAGTGGCAAAACAGCTGAGATCTGTCACTAAATTTTTTCATGCGCATGACTCCGAGTTACGATGGGCGCGAATTATTTTTAAAAGTCCAATTGGGCTGATATTAAATGGGGGTTAAATCAAATTTTTAGGCATCAAATCATTTTTAGACTTTTCCATTAGATTGGAATTTTCTCTCTCTAGGTTAGATACACTTCTAGCTCAAGCTCTCTCTAATCTTTCCAACTTAGCAAGAGGAACTTCAAGGATTGTACGAGAAATTGACAACTTCTCTAGTAACATTGGATTGTCTTCTTCATTGATGATTGATTGCAATTGCTATTGAGTTAGGTAACTTCATTGCATTTAATTCTTCTAATTTCCTCCATTGATTTCTCAATTTCTTTTGTTATTCAATCTAGATCAATAATGTTTGGCTAGAATCTTCATGTGAATTGGATCCTATTTCCTTGTGTTATGTATGAATTGATCAAGGTAGTTGTGATTATGTGTTGGTGTCTTGTTGGAAGAGGAATGTTTATATTGACTCTTGTGTGTGAAGTGCACCACATGGATGAAGGTTTAGGTAGGGTTATGCTTGCAAGAGATTGGGGCCTAATCCTAGACTCTTTCCCCTTGCAATTCCCGCCCTAAATCCGAGAAGACAAGGTCCGGAATGGGATGTAGACAACACGTTTGTTTAAATGCCTCATAGGAAATAATGTTAACAATAAGGTGCTACATTGCCCTATGATAGGCCTTAGAGACCAAAATTGGCTAAGGCATTGGAAGTAATCTCACATAGACCTCAATTCATAACATGGCTTCACCTCTTGCCTAAGTTTAATTCATTTCACATGATCAAGGGTAGGCAATCCAATTCAACCTAACATCCTCTTTGTTTACTTCGTTTCTTTGTTTGCACATTTACTTACATTGATCTTCACCTTTTGCATTCCTTACCATGAACCTTCCTAGCTTCCTAGTGCAAATATGTAATTGTGCTTGATAATACAACATTTAATTCCAAGTGTTCATTCTTAGAGAAAGACATCCCGGGAATCTTCATTCCCACCTTTCTTTCCATCCACCGCTAAAATACCACACGTCAGCAGAACAC